GGGGTAGTTACAGAAGTAGGATGGACTTTGGCCAGGAGACTGGAACATCCTTCACTGTAATGAGCCTACATATTACAATGAGTGCACTTAGAAAGACAGATGGACAGATGTTCGATGGGGCTAATTCTCATCATCACTAGCCAGTGAACTCCGAGAGAAAATACCAGTTTTACAGCTTTCCCTTGGGGCTCAAAAATCACATGATGCCCCTAGTAAATAAAGAGCCCTCATCTATTTTCCAGTTTCATTCAAGGGGCCAGCATAATCGACTAGTGCTCACATCCCCTAGGATCAAGCTGACATCAAGGACTTGACCCCATTCCCATCTATTAACTTTTTTTCTTCTCCGCTTGCTATTTCCAGAATCAAACCACAATCTCCAGTATCCACATGCAGCACAGAGAAGGGTGGAGGCAAGAAGGATTTCTCACCAAGTGCAAAACTGTGAGTTTGACTGTAAGTTATAGTTTCCAATAAAACTTTTGGCTGGGGCGGGGGGGGGGGTCTTTGTGCTGGAACTGCCATCCTGTTAAAAGGAGGCATGATTTATGACATGCAGTGCCTGGGGCTTGAGAATCCAGACTAGCTTGCATCCTTGTCTAGGACAGTGAAGCAGTCATTTGTTTGTTTGACTGTTGTAGAATTATTTTTTTCCTGGCTGATAAGCAGGTATTAAAAGAAGTGATGGATGCTAGTTTTGCCATATCTGGCCCTTCATATGTCAACCCTTTAAGAGAAGGTGGTGATTATCCAAGGAAGCCTCCCAAAGTTAAACTGACACTGTACTAAAAGATTTAAATCTATGGAACGGGTAGCAGCAACCTAAGCTCTCTGTTTGGTTTATGTATGTAGGCTACAGAGACTGCAGGATGAGCAAAGAGCAAAAAAATTTTCCACATTCGTTTGTTACATGGCACTTTGGCTCAGACTGCAAATAAGGAAGCCAGCTCGGGGCATCCATGGCGAGGCCATCTTACTGACACGCCGCTGGTGGAAACCAGCTAATTTAACCTGCCATCAGGGAAAGACTAACGTTCTATCACTGTGGACTTCAAATTAGCAAGCTCTTAGCTATAGACTCTGTGACCAGTTACTATCTGCTCCCCCAAAACATTCTGTATTGTAAAACCTAGTTCTCTGCTTCCAAGTGACAAACACATCATTGCCTAGACATCACTGCCTGCTCTCCAGACCCATTCCTTACTCCTCTTTTTAGAAAGAAAATTATTGCAGCCAGGCCATCCAATCTCCTAGCGTTAGCATGGATGCTAATCTTGTCTACTTCCCGATAGCAGTATGGAAACAACAGTTTGGGAAAAGACTCTGGACAGAACATCTGAGGAGTAAGTGGAAGTAAACTGTTTTAAACTGTAACAAAATATCTACTAACTTTTACAACAGTTCAAACGCGTGTGCTTAAAAGTTTTGTTAAACAATTTCCTTTTCTCACACAGGCCGAGTTCCAGAGCAAGGACTGAAAAGGAAAGAAGACAACCTGGCTCGCTCGCTCTTCCTCTAGCCACTAGACCATGCTCATCCCCTAACAACCAGTTGAAGATTACAAACCTCAACCGATTCAATCCCAAGCAAATCTCAATGGTAAGTGCATACCTTAAGCCTGGCCTGTCAACTAATAATGACAGGAAAATTTAGGAAACTGTTTTAAAACCTGTTTTAAAAGGTAAAAGAAAGGAAACCTAAAAATATATAATTAGAGGAAAGCACAGCACAAACGTAAGGTGTTTCAGGTTGCATGCAAATCAGTTTAAAAGCAAACCAAAACAGAATTAAAGCCTAATTTCTTGCGTCTTATTTTGTTCGCTGGCACACACTCCTCGGGACAGGGCAGGGTCCTTCTCCTACCGAGTCCCATGATAAAACCTCTGAACTTCCCAGTAGAGCTGGTCCTCCAGCCACAGTGCTCTCCATTCACCTTGGGTTGCACATTACCACACATGCACACACTAAAACTGGCAGGAAGAAGGAGCGGGACACTTCTTGGCTGCCAAAATCCTCTTAAATGTGAGCTTTAAGCATAAATATGCTCTTAATTAACTAGAGAAGAGCTGGGAGCTGGGAAAAGAGGCCAACACTGAGACACACCCTAAAAACCATTCCCAGCTGGAATGAGAATCCTCAGCCTAAGACATCTCTGATCTTAGTCACACATGGCAAGCATGGCAACTTAAAACTAAAAAAAAAAAAACTAGATGTATTTGCCGCAGCTGTATGAGCAGATGCAAATACTAGCGAGTGTGAGAAACAGCCTGCGATGTCTGATGTTGTCATCACAGTGACACTGGACTTCCCTGTTTCTGTTACTTGTGCTGGGGAAAGCAGCCCTGATTTTTATAGCTTTATATAGCAATAGGAAGCAGTGAAACTGAAAGGACCTGTAGACATCCTGGAACTGGGTACCTTGTCAGCCATTTACCCGCCAAGACGTGCGCAGCAGGCTGCGCTAAGCACTGAGCTTGGTAGCCTAGACGATCTAAACCAGAAGTCCAAGTTCCATTAATGCTGCCTGGCCAAGAGTTTGCTTTGTGGCCACCCCACTATTATAGAGAGACTAAGAGTGAGTTTTAACTACAGATTTTGTTGTTAGGTTTTTGTCGTAGTTTGGAATTGGTGGGAAATTACTTGCAGCTTTCTGAGTTTTCACAATGATTTGCTATCTTCTGGTTACCTTCCTTAGCCATGGTTACAGCCTGGTGTTACTGTGTTTGCAGGCAAATGGAGCAGGCACGGAAGGGCCCGTGGATAAAGTTAAATGAGACACAGCGTGACATATGCTTTTTTTTTTTTTTTTTTTCTTTCCTATTTACTAGCCCAAAGGAACTGCAATGTGCAGAGAAAAACATGGACAGGGTGAGCGGGGAAGGAGGTGGGCAAGGAACGCTAAGAGAGAAAGCAAAGAACTGTTACCTGCTGCATCCTGAACTAAGGGAACGTCACTTTTTACTGGAGTTGGAGTGGCAATGATGGGCGAAAACCCAGAGGTGCTGGCGGCAGGCATGACAATGCCCCTGCTGGATCCAAGAGTGGCACTGAGCAGAGAGTATGAGAGACAAGATGGAGAAAAAAGATAGGGAAGGGTGGGAAGGGGAGACCTAAGCAGGGCTTGTGAGAAAGATGGAGGCAGAGGTGGTGGCTGAGGTTGTGGTGCATTGTGGGTAGCATCATCGGCAGCAGCAGTAGCAGTAGAAGGAACCAGGCAGCCTGGAGAATGTGGAGAGAAAAAAAAAAAAGGCAGAAAAAAAGGAAAAAAAAACAAACAAAGAAAAACAAAAGAACTGAAATGAGAACCCAAGAGTGGAAGCAATATGATGAAAATGGAAAATACATTCACAAATGTACGAAACAGAACCGTAACAGAGAGGAAATGGAAGGTGAGGAACTGACAGCATCAGAAAGAGGAGGGGTATCTCTGCAGAAAGTAAGGAGCGGCCTTAGCGGCACGGGGGAAGAGCTACAGTCTTTCAAGCAGAAATTCCTGCTCGTTTGGTCCTTGTTCATCGATACGGTGCCAGCTTATACCAATATTAATTGCCGTGAGGGTGGGCTCACGCATTGGAAACCTGAGATCGCTTGCTACGCGGATAGCAGTGGGGCAGGGGGCATTCCCTAGGAAGTGTGAGTCACAGTTGGACAGCGTGCTGATAGTGGAGAGAGACTCCCAGGAACTGCTATCTCACCAAAAACTCTGTGGAGGAGCCATAATGCCACAGGGGGAACCACTATGCTGATCCAGCAGTGTTCATATGAAGGTCGCGTATGTAGATGTGTTGTATGGGAGCATCTATCTATTTGGTGTGCGAAGGAAAACGTATTTGAAGTTACAGCAAACTCACTGAGGCAGTCTTTCTAGACTACAATACCTAACTCTGGGAAGGACAGCTAAGAGATCCCTGGGTCACCACCAGATTATACAGAAGCCACAATGGATATATCTGCCTGCTGAGAAGATAACTAACTGCAACACAAGGCAGTAGGAGATGACTATCCAGTGGTCCTGCAAACAGGAAATGACGCAGAATCTTACTTCCAGAAAGAGGGGGATGGTGGAGCTCACCTGTGTGCAACACTGTGCAAAATGGCAAAAGAGGCTTGAGTCTTTTGTATGAGCAAAGGAGGTCAGTGAGCTTTTTACGCGTTGCTTTCTCAAGACGTGGTAGTTCCTCTCCCCTCCCCCCCCATAATATTTGCTACTGTGCAGTCTTTCTGAACCTCAAGAGTATAGGAACATGTCTGACTTCAGATGCAGCACAAAGAAATACAAAAAGATATCAGGGGAAATGCCAGGGACAAAAAAAGCTCCACAAACATTTTTTTTTTTTTTTTTTAAGATCAGTTATTCAAATAGATCCAGCTCCAAGACACAGGCTAAAAACGTCTTTGCAGGGGAAGAAAGCAGTATATACTATTAGTTCATGGACCCTTGAGGTGCATATTCAGATGGAGCTCTTTTTGCAAATGACAGCTGGGAACTTGGTTAGTACAAGGCACTGCTATATCTGAAGCTGAACGGGTGCAGTTCACGTTTTAAGGTGCTGTTTGTTTTCTTTAGCCTCTCTCCATGAGTTTCTCTCTCAAGAGCGCGCATGACTGTTAATCCACGCCCCCCCCCCTCCCCCCCAGCGCCCCGTTCTCTCTTACCTGCTGATGTACTTTCATTGCCCACTGGAGTGCTGGAGCAGCTGCGGTCCATATTGGAAGATTCAGAGGAGATCCCCCCAGGGCTACAGCCAGTATAATCCATGTACTCATCTGTTTCAGTGTCCATCATGCTCTGGGGTCCCTGAAAGGAAGCTGGGGTGCCTGATGAAGCTGGGCTGGGTGCCATGCTGCCAACATGGGGGAGATTTTCATTTCTTGGAGTGTGGCCAATAACCTGCAGCAAGAAAACAGGACGGGGACTTTCACAGCAAAAGCAAGATGCCAAGACCAAAACCATCTGTCTGCACGTCTTCCTCTCTGCCACTGTTCTTGGGGGATAGCTAGAACATGCCTGTGAGTGGAACCCACGGCACTGAGGCTAGGAGCGTGAATCTTGCTTCACTGGGAGCTCAGAGTGTTAATCTTGGCACAGGCATCCTGGTATGTGAATTGTGATGCACTCAGAGGCTGGGAGTGTTAATCTTGGCACCGATATCCTGGTGTGTGGATTCTGATGCATTCAAAAAACAGGAGGTGTTAATCTTGGCATTACTACTTTACTGTGTAGGTCCTGCTGCATTTAGAGACTGGGAATATGACTACTGGCATGACTGCCCTAGTGCCTGCATGCCGATACAGTGCCACAGGGAAACGCAGCCTGAAACCCGCACTCTTTCTGCGTGTATCCTGCTACGCTCTGTACACATGCAGCTGTTGGGGGTCTGGCATGGCACGGTCTCCTCTGGATAGTCACATGGATAAGTAAGTACCAAGAAGGAATTAATATCCAAGCACACCAGTAAGTGCCTGCTGACCGCCAAGGTGTGGGAAGAACTGGAGTTAGCACTTCTAAATGCAGAAAGGCAGCGGCACTACAACAACTATGTCTGTTAGTTTTGCCATGTGTCCTGACTTGTGCTTTCAGCCTCTTTGTTATCTGCTGGACTGCTGCGTGGGCTAAGCACAGGGACAGATGCAGACTAGCACTGTTTGTTTGCTCCCAGGATTCCTCTGACAATGATGACTACCTCTCCCCTGCTAAAGTGACACAGAATGGCCTGTGAAGGCGATGGAGGTCAAAACTAGTGTTTTCAGCTCAGCACGTACTAGAAATCTTAAAACAGTATAAAGCAGTATTGTGGAGACAAACCTATTTGTCAAAAATCTCTCCTAAGGCTGAGTCTTCTACCTGAGCTTTTCATATTAAGAGCAATAGCTACCACAACAGTAATACCAATTCCTTGGCATGTCACACAGCGAACTCATTAACTCCAACAGCAGTGGACTTGAACAATTAACTTACTGAAAGGACGTGACAGCTAAGAGAGACCGTCCATTCCCATGCTGTAGAATGAAAGGGGATTCCCATCTTACTTCTGTAGCTTTTGGTTTTCATATACCAAAAGACGTCCTTAGGGCTAGATCAGCCACAAGGGTTTATATAAAGTCAGTTTGTTTCGTATCCCAGGTCAATGGGGAAGTTAAAGAAACTAAGGAACAAGAGGAAGAGGCTTCAGGACTGCCACCATTCTGAGCAGCAGCTCTGTGCTGCAGTTGAAACTCTTAAATTTATTCATAGAACAGGGCCAAACCTAATCTGCCAGTTGCTCTCAGTTATGTTAGCCAAAAAACCAACTGCACAGCTCTGCTACTTTCTGAGAGAGGACCAAAGGAATCCCAACTTCTCTCAACTCCAAATCAGGTAAGGGAAGAGAAATTCTGAGACTGCTATTTCTCCCATCCTAGGCGGTAGCAGCAAGTAATTCTTCACGTGCAACAGGATAGGTTTACTTTAACCAGAACGTTCAATTGTTCCAGAGCCGAAGCACTTCAATTTTAAATAAGCCAGTTGGTGTATACTGAGAGAGCAGGGAGGGAGTTCAGGTTTTAAGTATGAATATTTTACAGCGTTAGCCTTCTCACATGTTTTTCTCTCCAACTCACCAGGAAAGGCTGTTGAGACTAAGTAATGCTTTGATGTCTATGCTTCATCATCTTTCCTAGTATTATGGAAGCCAAAACGGCTAAAGCTAGCGCAGGTGAACTTGCACACCCCAGCTGCAACGCAGAAATATCCTTAACAGGTTGGGTGTGAGTGTCTTGGCACTAATGCTGTTCTGCACTACGCAACCAAAAGGACCATCACCACATGCAGATCTGCAACTTAACCAGTGAGTCACCTGAGTAGGAACACGGTCGAAGTTCTTCCCCAGCATCCTTCTCATGTGCTTCCTGGCGTGGGATGTCATTTGGTGCTTGAGCAGGAAAGAGAACTGGCAGCCCTCTCGAATGCAGTGGAAGTGGCTGTTCACCTGGTTATATTTGCAACCTGCCAACATAAAACCAACGTATGTAGTACATGAAAGTACCGAGAGGGGCGGGCTGTAAGGGAGGTGCGCCTTGGAGACAGGGCAAGGCTGCTGCTACACTGATATCTGGTGGGTTGGAGGTTCTCAGGCTGGGTTGGGTTCTTCAGGAACAGTCCTGGATGAAAACCATAATCTTTCACCTGCTGAGAAACTGCAAGAAAGGACTGCAGTGTACGGGGCTTCAACAAGCAGGCCTGAACTGCAGACTCGTCCCATCGCTCTTCCTTTTGTTATGAAGGAATGAAAGTTACCATTAGGCCTCGTCATACCATTATGACTAGTGGTGCCTCTGGTTATCCACTCTCAGAAATACATGCTTATGATCAGTCCGACTAGGAAAGTTCTTTTTTTTTTGGTCTTTTTTTCTTTAACTGTACTCTTAGAACAGAAGAACAGTCTCCAGCTCTACCTCTGGACAGTTGTTTATACTCTGTTCAGATAGAAAGGAAAATTTGTTGTGTAAGAGGGGCAGCTAAAACAACAAACAACTGATACAGGTTCTGGCAGACAGCACTTGACACATTCTGCTCCTTGTGGCCAGTGCCATACATACTGGGAGTTTGCGTCTTTGTTATCAGATAATCTTAAAAAGCTGCATTCTATAGCTGATAAATAAGGGCTCGTTGCAGTTAAAACACAGCTGTATCAATAGTCCTGCTGTATCTGGTCTCCATCATCCCCTGTACATACACCCTCATGTATATGCAGGTACAGAGCTGCAGACAGGCCCAGGTTTGTGCTGAGCTATCTATCTGCACACACATACACATCCATCCATCTTTTATACGTACATGGAAAATAAACATAGATATATATATATAAACAATAACATACGCATATATATGTATGCCTACGTGTGCATGCACACAATCTCAGACCCTACAACAGGCCAGCACTTCTGCACCTGCTACATACAGCCTTAACCCAAGGAACAGAGAGGTACAGAAAAACAGACATGCAGTTACATGGTGGTATAACCACAGACACCTACACAAACATAGCCAGCTACACCAGCCTACCATGCTTGTCCACAGCTACATGGATAATGCATCGCCCTGGCTACATGTACATGTAACGCATGGCAAGCCCAAGCTATAGGCATACGTACACCCTGCTGGATACACGTACCCCCTCCACTCCCAAAATAAACACTGCTGACACATGCACGCTCTGTAGACGTCTTGCTGCCAAACAGCTCCTGAATCGCCCAGTCCATCTTTAGCTCAGAGATAGCGTTTTATGTGCATGCCAAGTTTATGTTTGTTTAGGTATTCCACTCCCCCACAGCCCCACCTCGTTTGCCCTCCCCATCACAGTGTGCTGTTCTTTGGGCTGGAGAACAAACAGTGCTAGCGGGATTGAAACAGTATCAGCAAAGGGCAGGTGAAGGCTCGCCCGTTGCTAAGGCAGCAGTGTAGGCTGGGTGTCATATATCATTGTCCTGCTTTGTCTAGCCCCTGCTATCACCTGAAACACCAAAAGTTGAGTAAATAACAGCAACTGCTGAATCTACTGACATGTGTAAATGAGACCTAGGTAAGGACTGGCTGTGGAGTGTTGACATTGATTGTCCTGGTTACCACAAGCAATTTACCATTCGGGTATAAATTCTTTCTTTACGTATTCAAAGCTTAAGGCAAAAGAAGTTCAGCTCTGGTTATTGTGGTTAACTATTTCCCTGCAATTCTAGAAAAAAAGAACAGCATCTAGGGAAAGGGACAGTATGGACAAAAAGGAAAGCAGTGTTTTTCGGAGCCATTTTGTTAAAACTTTATGCCAGGGCTGACAGACGCGGGGAAGACTGGGTCTGTGATAAAGTTGAGCCAAAACACAACTAAAAGGGTTAGTGAATCCCAGGTAGCTCAGGATGGAGCGCCATCAGCTTTAGGGATTCCCCCTAGTTCAGAGTTAGCTAGACTTTAAGCTCTAGGAATTCATTCTGCTTTCTATTGTTATGCATTTCTTTTGCCAGCTTTACACCAGAGGGGGGCCCTTAGATCTAAGTAAGTACTGCAGCGCTACCAGCAGTTTTGGCAAGTGGGCATGCCCCGGTCTGAGTGCTGTGCCACATCTCAGGTACCTCCTTAGGCCACGCTCTGGTAGGAGGCTGGCATAAAGGAACGGCGCTGGCGCGGGCCCTGTGTTTCCCTGCTCCTGAGAAGCAGCTGTGGAAAACGGGGCAGGAAGAGAAAGGAGCAATTTATTGAATACCCCCTCCCCATACCTCTATCTCCGGACAGAATATTTGCTCTTTGGCTTTCCATATGCAGCCCTGGCAACAGCTACCAAAGAAAAAAGTTTCATTTGAAGCTGCCTGGAATGAGGCAAACCAGCTACTGGAACTTGATGCAGGAGGACTTCTCCACACACACACACACACACACACATGACTCATCAGAACAGACATTTCCCTTATGCTTTCCTTACTCCTAAGAGCACCCGTCAACTCTGCCCAAGACAAGCAGTAGGCACAAAAGACTGCAAAGTACAAAAAAGGCCTCTGACAATTAGATCAAAAGGAAAAACACAAAGGGGAAGCTTTATCTTCTGACAAATACATAAACAAAACGCTATTACAGCGTCTTTCCATTTAACTTGGGGTCTGTTTGGGAAAACAGAATCCTTATGCATCCTTCCAGGCAGATCAGCAATAGATTTCTGTTTTGGTCTAGTTCTTGTTTTGTGATTTCATGACCAAATACACCTTGACCATAACTAGCAGACTCACTAATGGCATTCTCAGCCTGGACATAGGAAAGACTAGCTGAGAAGGGTGAGGGAGGAAAGAAAAAAAACTCACCTAGTCTGCCACACTCTTCTCGCTTGGTGAAGTACTTGAAGCCATTGGCTGCTCTTCGCTCTGCCTTCTCATGTTTTTTCACATGCCAGGGCAGCTTGGTGGTGATGTTAGTCACAAAGTAGCAGCCAGGACGAAGACAATGGTAATGCCCTCGCATCCTGAACTCACAGTGCTAGGAGGGGAGCAAACAGGCAGGTTATGTTAAGCGTATCTATCTGAAACAAAAGCATTCTCATTGGCCTGCGCCTAATGCTTTTCCTCTGGGAGAAATGAAATAATAGGCCCAAACTGATATTCTAGATCACATCCGTTTCATCTTCCACAGGACACAATGCAAATCTGTTCCCTGTCGTGTATTCTGTTTTGCTCTGATGTATATTCTATATTGCTCCAGTCTACAGTGAACTACCCCTAAAGCACAGCTAAGATTCCA